CACGAGGCCGAGGGAGTCCCTCCTACAGTCCTGCATACATTCAGACAAGACTGACGGACATCAGGAGTAAGAGAGTAGGAGTGGGAGCTCCCCTCTTGAGGCTGGACCTGTGGTCCTGCAGGAGCTGGCTATGTGTGGGGGCTGCTTGAGTTTCTGGGGCCACCGGTGAAACTGTAGGGCATCCCCACTGAGCTGCTGGAAGCCCCTCCTTCGGGTGCCAAATCCGTTGCGGAGGACCTGCCTTCCTCCGCATCTGGTGGACAGTAACAGCTCACCAAGCACCAGAGGTCTCCCATGTCACAACTCTTTTAATAGACAGCCCCCAGAGCTGCTGGACACCAGCCCCAGCATGCACGCCACAACACACCACACATCTCCCCCAGATGCCTCGACACCCAGAAAGCTAGAAAAGCCTCCAGACCAGACCCCAAAAGGTTCTGAAAAGCCCACGGATAAGAAAAACCTTTTCTTCTATAGTTTGCACATCTGATGAACACGAGTTACTAACTACCCCGCACCCCCCTACTCTCTGGCCGGCTGCGCCTCTGAAAATGAGGGCTTGTGAACTGACCAACCAGGCCACAGATGCCTGACACACACAGGATGAAAATCAGGCACCACTGGGAGTCGTGATGATCGGATTCCTCCCTTCTTATTTTCTCTGTAAGAATACTTATTGCAAGGTAAGCACCTTAACCCCTGGATTACCTCTCCAACCCCCATCATATGAATTCTTATGAGGAAACTTGGTAGTACCTGCTGGAGAAAAATCTCAAAGAGCTGTGCTCTTGTTCTGTGTGTGGGAGTCCAGAATGGGACCCACCGGCCCCACACTGTACCCTGATCAATGCTGGGAGTGACCCCCAAGCACAGAGTCAGGTCTAGTCAGGTGTGGCCCAATCCTGTCCACCTCCTCCTCCCTCGCCCCCCAAAAAAGGAGTTGCAGAGAGATAAGAGTGCAGGCTTTGCAGTCAGGAAGCCCAGGTTCAAACCCCAACCACTCAGTCCCCCAAGCACAGCCAGGAGTGACCCCAAGCACTGACACCGAGCACCTCTGGCTGTGGCTCAAAAATAAACAAAAAACCTTGAAGGTGCAATTAGGTGGGAAAAAAGCAAAAAATATGAATAGATACTAATATATAGCTGACAGATAAGAGATATCCAATTCACCAAAGAAACAAAATTACACACCTTGTTATTGCCTCTCACAGTAGCAAGAATGAAAATGAATAACACTTAGAGATGCTGACAGTGGGAAGAAATTGGTACAACTTTTCTTTTTTTTAAACTTTTTTATTGAATCACTGAGAGATAGACCATTACAAAGCATTCATGACTAGATTTCAGTCATACAGTGTTCCAACACCCATCCCTCCAACAGTGTACATTTCCCAGCACCAGTGTCCCCAGTTTCCCTCCCACCACCCGCCACCCCACCTCCTGCCTGCCTTTATGGCAGGAACTTTTCTTCTCTCTTTCTTCTCTCTCTCTCTCTGGGTATTGTGCTTTGCAATATTGATACTGAAAGGTTATCCAGAATATCCCTTACCTACTTTCAACCCTTAGATCTTGTCCAGTGTGATCATTCCCAGCTATTACTATCATAGTGGTCTCTTCTCTATCTTACCTATGGTACAAATATAGGTAAAGGCCCTCCCGTTGATCGTCGATTTGCTCGAGCGGGCCCAGTAACGTCTCCATTGGAGACTTTGTTGTTACTGTGTCTGGCATATCGAATACTCTCGGTAGCTTGCCGGACCCGAGTTCGATTCCTCTGCCCCTCTCGGTACAAATATATATATATATATATATATATATATATATATATATATTTTGCTCCCCCCCCCCGGGTCACACTTGGCGATGCACAGGGGTTACTCCTGGCTCTGCATTTAGGAATTACTCCTGGAGGTGCTCAGGAGACCATATGGGATGCTGGGAGTCGAACCCAGGTCAGCTGCATGCAAGGCAAACGCCCTACCCGCTGTGCTATTGCTCCAGCCCTGGCACAAATTTTCTTAAAGAAAAATTATAGCAAAAGTCTCAACAAGATGCAGTTTTTTTTAAGATACATAGTTTTGAGACATCAAAATTTCAGTTCAAAATTATTCTGAGAAAATACAAAAGTATACAAAATTTATCTAATAAAAAAATCTATTCATTGCAGCACTATTTATAATAGGGAGAAAACAGAAGAGCAAATATTCAGAATGAAAGACTGTGTAAATAAGCGTTAGCCTATCAACTGAATTACGCAGAATACTGAAACCATTAAAGTGGTATTACCATGAAAGAAAGACCTCATATACTGAGATGCATGCAGCAATCAACACAACTTTTGATTGCTTTCTTTGCTTGGTTTTGGGGCCACACCCTGTTGCTCTCAAGGCTTACTACTGGCTCTGCGCTCAGGGATCACTCCTGGTGGTGCTCAGGGAACCACATATAAAGCCAGGGACTGAACTGGGTTCAGCCACATGCAAGGTAAGCACCTTTACCCCTTTACTATCTCTCTGGTCCTACAAATTTTGTTTAAAAAACAAAAATGTTTTAAGTAAAAGTAAATATATACATGTCTTCCTCTAAAAAAAAATATCAAGGAATGTCGACTTTTGAAAATATGTTAAAAAAAAGTCGCTGGATAACGGGATCACTGGCATATTAGTTACCAGTCCATATTTATTTGTTTTAAGTCACACTCAGCAGTGATGAGGGGCTATTCCTGGCTCTGTGTTCAGGACTGTTACCTGGTAGAGACCATATGTGGTACTGTGGATTCAAAACAGGGTCATGGGTGACACAGTCACATGCAAGGCAAGTGCTTTACTCTTTGTACTATCTCTCTGGCCACAGTTAGATGCTTAAACAAAAAGTTCATTGTCTCAGTTTCTGTGGGTAAGGAATCTGGGACCCATTCTCTCAGGCTTCAGACACATGTTGGCTGAGGCTAGTCATTTGAAGGATGGAGTGGGGCTGAAGACACACAACACACACACACACACACACACACACACACACACACACACACACACACGGCTGTCAGCAGGAGCATTCCATCCTTTGCTGCCTGACCTCTTCGCCCACAGAGTCACTTCAGGACTGGCAGCTGGTATCTCTCAGAGCCAAAAGTGGTCAAGAGAATGGAAGACACAAAGACCCTGTGACCTACCCCCTAGGAAGTCACATTGTTGTTCTTTCTACATTTGAGTTGTTAGAAGCCAGTCACTAAGTCTAGCTCACATTCAAGGGGAGCATTAAGTTGGCACCTTTTGAAAGAAAGGGTATCAGATCACTTGTGGACCTATTTTTAAGTCCCTGCAACAGGTGGCCTGTGTCATACTCAGAAATAGACAATTCATTTTCAAACGGGAAAGCTGGGAGCAGAGAAAGTACAGGGTTTAAGGTCTTGTACACAGCAGACCCCAGTTTGATTTTTGGCACTGCATATGGCCGCCCAGCCCTGCCAGGAGTGATTCCTGAGCACAGAGCTAGGAGTAAGGTCTGAGCACCACTGGTGTGTCCCCCTCAACCCCCAAAAAGGTAAAGTTAATTTCACAAATGCATATAATGCATATATAGAGATAATCTGAAAATTAACTATCTTCAATAAATACAATGTACCTGCCAAAAAGCATGATTCTAAGTTACAATAAAAGAAAATGGCACCAGAATTCACTTATATTCTATACCAACACCTGTCTGCTGGTGTCAAAAGGTTGAAAGCCACTGATTTAGACTATGTCCAGAATGCCCTCTTCACTTCCACTGTCATTTCTACATGCAAAATTAACAAACCAGACAGTGTTACTTCAAAATGAAGAAAAGTCTGGGTTTGGCTTGAAAGAGAAAACTTCAAGAAGGAAAGAGCAGGAAAATCACTGCTTTGAACTCTAGGAAGGGCTGCAATGTGGAAAGTTAAGATTTAAGAGGCTGAGCAATGAGTAAGAATTACAGGAACGCAAAGTGGCACATGTGGGTTTTTTTTTTTTTAAACAATCACCGTTTTTTAAAAACCAGAGCATTTGGGCTGGAGCACATTCTTTACATGCAGGAACCCTGGGTTCAATCCCTGATACTGCCTGAATCCCCAAGCACCGAGCCAGGAATAGCCCCTGGGCATTGCTGGCCAGTTTGGCCAAACAAGCAAATCAGAGCATTCAGTGAATGTTCCAGAGCTACAGTGTGAATCTACCAAGTCAGAGAGAGGCAGTGCTGCTTCTCTGTCAGTCACAACCAAAGCTCAAGTTCCAACTGGTCTTGGCTCACACTGGCTGGCATCGAAACCAAAATGACAAAGTTTCCCAATGCAACAAATTCTACTCCAGTCCCTATGCATGAGGTGTAAGTGAAATATACAGGGCTTGGCATGTAGTGCCAAGCTTTATAAATCGCTCTATAAATGTTAGTTATTTTTTCACTAACTCAAAGTCTGACAAGATGCTCTCTCAGGTTTGTTCCACTTTCTAAGACTGACAGTGCTAGACACCACCAGGGCCACTCTCTACACACTCAAGGCGGAGGAGGGTGGGCTATGCAGCGCCAGGGGTTGAATGTGGCACCTTCCTTGTGTACTCCAACCCTTTGGGCTATCATTTCTGGCCCTAGAATAAAGGTACTTAAAAAAAAATAAAGACTTCAAATGGGTCTACTTCACCTACTCCGAGCAAATTATAGAGTATTACAATTAGCTTGGGCTGGAGCGATAGCACAGCGGCAGGGTGTTTGTCTTGTGCGCAGGCAGCCCGGCCAAGCTGGGTTCGATTCCTCCGCCCCTCTCAGAGAGCCGGGCAAGCTACCGAGAGTATCTCGCCCGCACGGCAGACCCTGGCAAGCTACCCGTGACGTATTCGCTATGCCAAACACAGTAACAACAAGTCTCGCGATGGAGACGTTACTGGGCCCGCTCAAGCAAATTGATGAACAACGGGAGGACAGTGGACAGTGGACAATTAGCTTACTTATCCAAGCCAGGTAACTACTTGCCATAGATAGAAACTTACTTTTTGGGTGCCCGCAGTCTGGATGTTCTGCCATGTTGCTACAGGTTCTGTAGCGACGTGCCACTCTGGATAAGCTGCCGTGAGGAACTTCACAAAGGTGGACTTTCCCACAGCTGCAACAGAAACACCATGTGTTGGGAACCTGCCCAAACCAGGGCTGAAGAAAGCTGCTACCAAGCTCAGCCGCTGATGCCGAACTCAAGGGAACAAGTACCAGTTCTTCCAATTCTAATATTCAGTAGCAGTACTGCTCTCAGACTGATGATGGGCGAGACCATCCCAACCAGGTCACCATCAAGAATACAGTCAACAGTGAGGAAAAACACCCTTAAGACTGGATTTGCAATTTTAATATCCCAATCTCTCAGAGTAATTAGCTGAAAGTGCAGAAGATTGTCAAAGTTGATGAAATCAGCTGAATCACCGTCCTATTTATTGTCACAGTGTAAGATTTTCAAAAAGATGCACAGAGACCATGACCCTCATTCACTCAACAAATCTAAGATTCATGCAGTATTTATTACTACATGCTCAGGATGGTCTGGTACTGTAAACAAAACTCAGGCAAAATTCTGCCTTAGAGGAGATAGGTATTAAATAAATACACCTATAACTAGTAACAAGCTGCATTAAGTGCTAGGAAAGAAAAATGCAGGATGACTCTAATACAGTTCAGAAGGTCAAGAAGAACTCCTCAAGGGTGTGGGGGAGACAGAGGGATAGTTCAGTGGATAAGGTTTTTGCCTTGCATGCAGCCAACTTGGGTTCAATCCCTAGGGCCCCATATGGTTCCCCAAGCACGGCCAGGAGTGATCCCTGGGCACAGAGCCAGGAGTGAGACCTAAGCACTACCCAAACAACAACAAAGGAACATCTCCTCGGAAGAAGTGACAGCTGAGGAGGAGCCAGACAATTAACGGAAGAGTAGGAGAGGATATTCTTCACAGAGAAAAAATATTGGTACACAGTAAAACAGAAAAGAAGGCTGTTGCCTAGAAGCAAGTGCTGCTACAACATGGTCAAGAGAGGGAAACTACTGGTTCAGGATTTATGTGGAGAGGCAGGGAGAAATCTTTGGAACCAGATTGAGAAGTCTGGATTCCAACCCAGCAATTCCATTTTCTATCTACCCCCAGGACTTAAAAAACATTCATTCAAAAGGATGGATGCACAGCACTATTCATTGTTGCACTTAGTACAATAGCTAAAACATGACATCAATGACAGATTAATGGATTATGAATTTGTGATATGTATGAACTTGAGGTATACAAGGGCTGGAGCAATAGCACAGTGGGTAGGGTGTTTGTCTTGCACGCAGCCAACTTGGCCAACCCGAGTTCGATTCCTCCACCCCTCTCGGAGAGCTCGGCAAGCTACCAAGAGTATCTCACCTGCACGGCAGAGCCTGGCAAGCTCCCCGTGATGTATTCAATATGCCAAACACAGTAGCAACAAGTCTCAAAATGGAGACGTTACTGAGCCTGCTCGAGCAAAATCGATGAACAACGGGAGGAGTCTGCTGTGAACTTTGCTATATTCACAATGGAATACTATGCAGCTGTAAGAAATGATGAAATCATGCAAGTAGCTGCAACATGGTTGGAACTGGAAGATACCATGCTCAGTGTAGTCAGAGAGGACAAAAAGGATGATCTCACCAGCTGTGGTATATAGAATAACTGGAGGAAATGTAATGTAGTAAAATGGGGGATGTGTAGACCGCCCCTCACACCAGAATATAGGGGGGAGAAGGAAAGAAGTCAAGGGAGGAAGGAAGATGAGAAAGGGAAGTAATGGAGGGAACAGGGGTTGGGGCTTTGGTTATACTGATGATGTGGGAGAATGGTATAGCTATATATCTAAAACCCAGACTGTACAACACTGAAAACATGAGATCTAACCTGCAATCATCAAATTTTGTAATGTGTCTTTAAGCTAGCAAGCTGGAAGTGGGGGGAAGGGGGTGATGGTGCAGAGGGTGAGGAAAAGAATATGGGAACATTGGTGGGGTGAAGTTGACACTGGTGGTGGGACTGGTACTGAAATATTATATGCCTGATTGGGAGGATTATTATCATCAAAATGGCAATATTGCCAAAGGCATTGTACAAATTCAATACTGTCTGTATAAGGATACCCATGTAATTTTTTTCAAGATACAAGATACAACAATTTAATCTTATGATTGATAAGAACAACAACTATTAACATACAAAGTTCCATTCAGTTCAACTGCAGGTATAGGCAGTGACAAGTATCTAATTCTTACCCATATAATTTGTTAAAGAAATAGATCAAAACTCCTGAAATTCATATGGAATAACCCCTCCCCCATCTGAGTAATTAAAGCAGTCCTTCAGAAAAAGAATATGAGAAAAATCACTTTCCCCAACCTCAAACTGTATTACAAAGCAGTGGTAATTAAAACAGCATGGCATTGGAATAAAGATCGACCCTCAGATCAATGGAATATACTTGAATATCTTAAGACAGACCCTGAGGCATATGATCAGTAAATCTTCAATAAAAAAGAAAAAAAATGAAGTGGAGCAAGGAAAGCCTTTTCAACATATGGTGCTGGAAAAACTGGTCAACTATATGCAAAACAAACAAACAAACAAACAAACAAAAAACCCCCAAAACTCAGACCTCTTTCTAACGCAATGCACAAAAATTTAATCAAAATGGATTAAAGCCCTTGATATTAGGCCCGAATCCATAAGCTACACAGAGGAAAATATAGGCAGAACTTTCCATGACATAAGGTAGCAAGCTGGGGGTAAGAGGGTGGGTGGAACAGTGCAGAGGGTGAGGAATGGAGTATGGGAACACTGGTGCATCTTGAAGATGCTAAAGGTATCTTCAGGGATAAAACATCACTGACCATGGAGTGGAAGCTTAGGTAAACAAATGGACCACATTAAACTGAGAAGCTTCTGCACTTCAAAGGAAACAATGACCAGAATATAAATAGAGCCCAGGGAGTGGGAAAAACTATTTACCCAATAGTTATCTGATAAGGGGTTAATATACAAGATATACAAGGCACTGGCAGAGTTTGACAAGAAAAAAAGCACAAAACCCCATCAAAAAATGGGGCTAAGAGATGAACTCAAAGAAGAAATACAAAATGGCCGAAAGATATATGAAAAAGTGTTCTCCATCACTATGAGGGAGATGCAACTGAAAACAACAATGAGATACCATCACACACCACGGAGACTGCCACACATCAAAAAGAACAACCAGTGCTGGTGTGGATGCAGAGAGAGAGGGACTCTCATGCACTGATGTTGGGAATGCTGACTGGTCCAGCCTTTCTGGAAAACAATATGAAAATTCCTCAAAAAACTAGAAACTGAGCTCACACATAACCTAGCAATACTGCTCCTGGGAATATATCCTAGTGACCCAAAAAACATAATTCAGAAAAGCTATCTGCACTCCGGTGTTCACTACAGCACTATTCACAATAGTCAGAATCTGAAAACAACCCAAGTGTCTGAGAACAGATGAGGGGGATAAAGAAACTATGGTATAGCTACACAATGAAACACTATGAAGCCGTTAGGAAAAAATGAAATCATGAAATTTGCTTACACATGGATAGATATGAACAGTCTCACGTTGAGTGAAATGAGTCAGAGGAAGAGGGACAAAACACAGAATTGTCGCACTCATTTGGAGATAAAAAACAACAACAACAAAACCCACCACTGTATGTGAACAGTTCCCATAGACAGTAGAAACAAGGGCCAGGAGGACTGGTCCATGGTAGTAAGCTTGTCACAAAGGGCGAGGGGGAGTGCAGTTAGGACACAGAAGGGACCACTATGACAATGACAGTTGGAAAATGAACACTCTGGGCAAGATCTGAGTGCTGAAAGGAGGTAAAATGATATGTACCCTTTTAGTAGCCATACTGCAAAACACAGTGCCTAAAAGGAAAATGAGAGTGAGTGAAAAGGAAAATGAGAGTGAGCGAAAAGGAAAATGAGAGTAAGTGAGAGAGAGAGAGAGAGAGAGAGAGAGAGGTGTCTGTCACAGAGGCAGATTGCTGCTGAGGGGGTGAAAGGGAGGATGAGAGAAAAACTGCGAACACTGGTGGCAAGATAAGTACACTGGTGAAGGAACAGGCGATGGAACATTGTATGACTAAAATTCAACCGTGAACAACTTTTTAACTGTGCATCTCATGGTGGCTTAATTAAAAATAAAAATAATTTATAATTATATACCTAAAACTTAATCATTTTATAAATAAACTGTCAATCATGGTTCTTTAAAATTTTTTTTAAAAAAACAAGCCAAAATTCCACTTTAAGGGCAATGGAAAGTCAGTTATGATGGGTTTTAAGCAGAGAAATGAAAGTTTCCATCTTACTGTAAAAAGATGACTCCATCAGTGAGGTGAGAATAGTGATAAGGAAGTAGACAAACCAGTTAGAAGATACAATGGATCCTTGCTTGAGCCAAAGGAGTTGGGAAATAGTTACTGCTCCAAGAGTTATTCTGGAGATGCATTCCACCTAGTACCACAACACAAGTTACTTTTCCCCATCACACCAACATCTGGTCCATACCTTCAAGAGCTCCTGATTTGTTACTCAAAAGCCCTCAAACATCTCTACTTGGACAATATACAGATATTTCTAAGTCACTATATTCCCTTTGAAACTGTCTTCCCTACCAAACTGAGCTTCCTTGGCTTGGATCTCAAGATATGGCAGCACCCACTACCCATTCACTGTGAGAACTTCCTCCTCTGCCAAATCTCATAGCTTTCCCCACCTGTCATAGCTTTCTCCACCTTCCTGTTCTCTCCATTTCCACCTCCATGTTAGAAGTCAAGTGTCTCACCATCCTTTGGCCTTCCAACTCCAGCCTTTATCTGCCTCCATCTCTCTCTCATACTGCAGCCTACTGACACAAAAATAACATTGCTTAACACACTTCAAGATCTGACCCTGCATACACCTTTCTGGTTTCGTTGTGTTTCAAATTCAGATTCGAAGGACAAAATTCTTTGCAACTTTAAGTGTGCCATGCTATCTCCTGCAAATGTTTTTTGCATATGCTTCCCATTTCCTAGAGCACTTCCTTTCCTCAC